CAAGCTGGTGAGCATGTCTTGAGCAATTTTCCTCTTCCAGATACCATCTACCTTTGGTGGAGCTTGACCAGGGAAAGTTTGAAGTGCTTGTTTCATCTTTTCCCACAAAAGCCGAGCTAGAGAGGAACTTGCTCTCACTGTTACCTCAATTTGGTATGCAGAGTTTAGCACCTATCAAAAAAGGGAGCAAAATGTATAACCTCAGATATAGTGTGGAATAATGGTACTTTCAAGGTGATTGCATTATTAAAGCACACAGCCATCGTCATCCTCAGAAACTGTAACCACAACAACTGATACAGGGTGAACTTTTCACCCTTTCACTCCCAAGATCTTATTAGCAACTTTCCTTACTGTCTGCCATACAATTATTTTGATGTTAGTTCGGAGAAGTAGATATTTGATCAACTAACAATCCCCTGATTAATATTTTTTCTATCATTCTCATTACCTGGCAGTTTGATATTGTACACTAGATATTGTCAGGAAAAATTCTGTCTTGCTCATTAATAGGAGTTAGAAGGTCAGTTAGTTAATTCTGATAAGCATCTGCATGGTCATTGCATTGAAACATGCAAGGAGAGCATTTGGTTGCATTCTACATTTAGATGCACAGCACCAGCATTTCATGTTTCAATCCCTCTCACAGATACTTTAATTCATGATTAATTGAGAAATGCTGGGTCAAACCTTTAATGAAAGTATTTGTACAGCAAACAAGTGACAAGACTTGTGCAATACCTAACCTTGAGGCTTTTTAGTCATGAAATATAGCACAGGAAAATTTAGCTAGGCAGCCAAAAGACAGAATTAGCCATTCCATTGGGCAGAAACATGTAACAGTTACATAAAACCTTTTGAGCCCTTAGAGGGACCAGCATCTAATTTCTCCCTTCAGTGATACTGCTGGATTATTCCATAAAATCATGAGGATAAAGCAAATGATCACTAACTTGAAAGGCTTTGACTGTTAAGCCAGTTCTCCTTGTTCCTCCAAAGGAAATAAATAGAGGAGAGTATTGAAAAATATGGAAACTGACGTCAGGGTGTAAAGGGTTAACAGCATACTATGAACTTACGTGTCTTAGGGATGACGTAGCAGATTCTCCGTTTTCATAAACCCCATCCCTGTCTATCTTCTCCAGGCACTCAATGCATCGCTTCAAAGTTCCCACAAAATTTTCTTGGAGGTATTTGACAGAACTAATCAATCCTTCCGCCACAGAGTTGTTGATTCTTGCTAGGACCAGCTCTTGAATAACAGTAACACAGTACTGCAAATCCTTTGGGTTTGAAAGCTCACCATTAGGCAGCACTTTTACCCCTTCAAAGGTCCGATGCTCAACTTCATCCAAGATTTCTGGCGACAGTGAGGTGATAGTGTTGTGTATGAGGTCTTTGATTTCCTCTTGCTTGCGGCTTGCGCTTTCCATCAGAGCATTAAATAGATCTTCCTCCTTCTCTCTGGCATAGTCCAGCCTACGCGGTGTGACCACCATATCCCGGGCCATGTCAAAGGCTGTAGTGATGAACATACCAAGCACTCTCACATGAGCCTCATTCAGTACAGTTGCAGCTGAAACAACATTGTATTTAAGGACTTGCCGCACAAACAGCAGAAAACAAGGGAAAAGTTTGAAGTCCTCAATGAGATTCGACTTTGGTCGAATGGCTGTCAACATTGAATTGTTTGTTGACTGCTCATTTGCCTGCAGTTTTGTTTCTTCATTCTCCAGTGATAAGTACCCTAGTTCACATAGCTGCTCAAAGATCTTTGTCTTCCCAGGTATTGATCCAGTTTTGATATTGGGGTCTTGGTTGACATCTGCCCGTCTCTGCTCCATTGTCTCAATGACGTAATTGCGGCCTGACTCAGTCATAGAATCAGTCAGCTCAGCAGAAGCATTCCTGTTGCACTTTACAAAGAACACAGCCATATCTGGTGCCATTGCCTTCACTTGACGGAGTTCTGTCTTATCCTTTACATAAAAGAGAAATCACATGATAAATTCGACCTTCTTTATCATCAATATCTGAAAAACTGCTTGATGGATAAAAATAAGGAGAAATGCTATCTAAAGGGTAAAAGGAAAGTAGAGACAGAGCAAGTGAGAAAAAAAATACAATTGCAAAGGCCAATTTTAGTGAGTTCAACTGATATATGAATAAATACATATACATAGCTGAACACAAATTCTAAAATACCTGTAATTAAACACCTCTGATATTACTATTTTAATCACATGAACTACCACAGGTCCCGAGCTGACTGCAGCATAGAATGTATTTCAAAATACACCAGTTTGTACTGTATACGTGAATTCTTTTCCAAAACGAGTTACAATAAGACTTCTTAGATTACAAATTTGTTATTGACAGTACTAAATAGTAAATTGTCTGCATATCATGTACAATCAGCCTTGCACAACATGCCCTCATTATATTGTGCCTTAGGCAATCTAGTTACTTCAACAAACACCATTTTTTTGGGGGGTATTGGTAAATTCAAAGATTCTTTATACAGCATATCTAGAGAGATTCCCTAACAGATGGAAAAACTTAAACTTTTAAAAATGTTCCACTTGTGGTACAAGTTCACTTCCTTGTGTGTTGAAAAGATATCAGGTTTTACAACAGGGACTGTGCAATCTTTAACAAACAGCTGGGAAGATATGATGTAAGAAAGGAAAGATGGCAAATTTATTTCAAAGCACGTGAACCAGAAATTTCCCTTAATAAAAATTACTACCATAAAATAAACATTATTTCTACAGCACGTACCAAGAAAGTAAAACAAAACTGCACCCTAATAAAATACCACTAATTCCATTCAAAGCAAACGCACAACATAATTTACACCAATTCTTATCTCAAAGCAAGTTTTTTGGGTAAAGGTTTTCCTTCATAGGGGAAGCAAAAAGGTGATTATTTTTAAGTGATCAAAACTTGTTATGATCGGTGATAATGAAAGACAATAGAGTTAAAAGGCACATATATCTCATGTTGTAGTGGTCTCTAATATTAAGAGTAACCCCATAGATTACCACGTTCGAATGTTTAGGGTGAAAACAAAACTTAAATGTATATTTATCTTGAGCTTCCTTTGCCTCTACAAGTGTATTTCTAACAACATCCCCTACTGAAAGAGTGAAAGAAATTAGAATATTACTGTAAGCAGCTTTTTCGGATCGCGTCTTCGCGCGCGTGAACTAAATGTGGATAATTACAGGCATGATTACCACAATAAAATTCTAACCTACCTTCTCTGTCAAAACATCAAATTCTATCGCGTAAAGAACAATTGGAAGCACATCCTCGCAACAGGCCCGGAATATGTTGTCGATGTCGCCCTCGTGATTGCTGGGGGAACACACTAACTCTGCTCCGGCTTTCAATAAGGGATGCGTTAACGAAACTTCAGCAACAGCAGTCGCCAAGGCTGGATCGTCTCTTTGTACTTCAGTCAATTCGAGATCAGCTCTTGGAACACATTCCCACGAGCCTTCATAGGCGTTAAGGTTCGCTGCTAATTCAAAACTGTCCGGTAGAACTAGACTGACGTTTGAGATGTTCCCGTACTTTAATCGAATCATTCGCCATGATGTGCGACTGTCTAACTCCCCAACCACGGGAAGAACGGGTTCCCCAAGCAACTCGTTGATCACGCAGACTTTGGCGAAGCATGTTTGTCCTATTACAATGATAGTGGGAGGTTTCTCACAAACCGCTAAGGACTGATAGTCGCTTTCTGGAAGATATGCAGATAAGACGTCTTGACTGAATTGTCCCGAGTCTTGAATTTCCTGAAAGTATCGGTTCGTGTCTCGTTTTATCTGCTTTAGTAGCCTTGAATGCTCTTGGAACTTGCTTATTTCGTAGGGAAGATTCGCAGCCATAGCAAAGAAAAACAAGAGTGCTGGCGAATTAATCAGTCACTGATCTTTTCTAAGTCCAAACGCATCCTTATTTTGGAAGAGCTCTTCGATTACTTCTCGCCTTGAGCAATTTTGGTATACATGTATGTAGTTCGCTACAAAGATCGCGAACATTCGACCGCAACCAATAAAATACTACCGCAGCCATATATGGTTGTAAACGTCACGAAGATTGCGTGAAACGTGACTAGTCCTCGTCTGGACACGCACCAAAGAATTAATAAGATAATCACCAAATATCTAAATAGATTAATGAATTAAATGAAATTTTTCTAGACAGGCAAGTGTAACTCAAAATATTAGCTAAAATTCTTCAGAAATTGCTGTCAGAAACAACCAAAATCAACAACGTGCGTGACGAAATGAAAGGAATCTCTTGGGATATGTAGTTGTCAAGAATGTTGTTTATTAACCATCACACCTTTACCCCGGACACATGTTGGCGGCGTGTGGCGTACATTTTAATCATTTATTTATTTATTTTTGAAATCCTCAGAGTGCATTTTTGATTGAATGTATTGCGAAGAGTGTCCTGGTAAGAAAGACCATGTATGAGAGACCATGTAAGAGAAGTGATGGACGATGTACAGTTACGCAACAATACGACACAATTCTCTAGGGGAAAAAAAAAAGTACTTTTCCCGTGACTAAGAGATTTAAAGCTGTTCGGTAAGTCCTCGGAATAGGTATACCGGAATTGGTGCGGTTACGTAACAGTACGATGCAATTCTCTGGAAAAATAAAAAAAATAAAAAAGTACTTTTCCTATGACCAAGAGATTTAAAGCTGTTTGGTAAATCCTCGGAATAGGTGTTGGCGATCACGCAACGCATTCTGAAACGCTTCACCCGGTTTGGTGTGTGTCACAAGCAACCCGCGTGCTTTTTTTTTTTTTTAAGGAGACTTTCAGTACTACAAAAAATTTGTCAGACTTCGAATGAGCCGAGCGCGAGAAAATCATGAGATGTTTTTGCGTGGAAAAGTCCTATTTGAAGCACGTGGCTTATTGGATACAAAAACAATCGGGATGAAGCGAAAAATGAAGTGAACGGACTCTTAACTGTACATTGAGAGACAAAAGAATAAACGTTCATTTATTTAATTACTTAAAGGAAGTAACCTTATTTAGCCACTGCTTCTTTGCACTTAATCGCACCTTCCTATGCTTTCCTTTTAATTGTCATTCTGTTCTTCTTTACAAATTTTGGTCGTGTTCAATTCTCCGTATGTATTTCTCACGGCAATAACTGACCGAGAGAGAACGAGTTAACTGGTTGAGAACTAAGAAGCTTTCTATCAGCGACAATCACTCTGATTAAAAAAAAAAAAAAACCCAAATAAGATGAACTTTCCGGTATTTATAAAGCAAATAAACATTTTCCCTCGTTGATATTTGAATGATCATCCTATAATCATGCTCCCAAATTCCGCTGCTCTTTTCCTCATCATTTTTTCCCCTTTCTCTTCTGTAGAGTTTCACTACAAAACAGTTTCATAAGTAGAACTGTGAGATACCTCCAACTCCCCCACCCTAACCTACCGGGAATCCTTCGAAAGGTGCCACACGCTCCCCTACGTCTGCTAAACTGTGCCATAGGGCTGTGGCGAATAATTTTGACAACTATAACTTAAAGAAGCTTAATCCATCTAGTTCGAATAATTAGAGTAAGTTAGAAATAAAAGAACCAAATAGGCCCAAGTATTAAAAATATTCTTCCTTACCACAAAAATAGCTGAACTCGAAATATCGCGAACTTCAAATCCCTAACTGTACATATTAAGCATACAGAGCTAGACAAGAAGATGCAGACTTTTAAACCAAGGCAAAATATGCAAGACATTTACATTGGGAAACAAAATATACAACGAACTTAACTAAAAGCATGCATTAAACGAACTGAAGTTTCCTTAAACCTGGTCAACTAAGATATACAAACTTTCAGTGGAGCCCTATTTTTCCGCTTCGTGTTCATCACCTCGCTGAATGAATACAAAGCTGTACTTTTTAAAGCTATTTCCGCAGTTCATAATTTTATATTTACCTAGCGGCAAGATATCCATCAACATAGGACTACAGATAGTAGTTTTAACGACACATTTCCACAAGGTACCCTACAAATGTTCTTCAATCTAGCTCGCTCAATCTAGCTCGTTTTGTTATACATAGTAACCTAGCGGTAAGATATCCATCTACATGGGGTTACAGGTTGTACTTTTTAGTGAGCCATTTACACAAGGTACTCTACAAATGTACTTCAATCTAGCTCGTTCTCGTCAATGTCCTCTAGGCTTTCTTCTTTGGTATCAACAGCTTGTTCAGCTTCTTCAGCTTGCTCCAGGGTGCTAAGTTGTTTTACAAAGTCATTAGCAGTGGGCCGCCGTTTGTAGAACAACACGTAAGCGTACTTGGACACGACGCGTTCCTCATGGGTCTCCGTGACATGCCGGTCATCAAAATAACGCCAACCTGTGGAAATGAGATGAAAATCAGTAAAACCAAGTACTGTGAGGTGAAAAGACGCAAGTTAAATTGATTTTTACAAAAACAAAACACACACCACAGATACACCTTCACCAGGTTACAGCCGCAAATTACGTAACACTTGCTACTGGGGCAGGGCATACTATACTTCATTCCGCTCTTTACGCTCGGGATTACTCTCTGACCTACTTCAGCCCTACACAACTGCTTAAAGGCTACGTATCTAATGCTCGCCGCTATGCCATTTAAACAAAACACTAGACCCAAAAACGTTGGCAGTTGTTGCGCTTCTTAAAGTTGAACTACTGCTCAAGCAAGCGTGGTTTTAAATCTCTCTACCTGTCATAGTCGTCATGATTTTGCCATAATAATCAAATATGTTTGTATAGGTAATCACATGATCTCGAGTGCAATTTGGAATAAATAAGCACGAGTAAATTTTTTTAAAGATTAATAAAATTGTACGAGCCCGTAGGGCGAGTGCAATTTGCGGTCTTTGAAAAAATTAACAAGTGCTTATTTATTCCAAATTGCTCGAGAAAAGTCATGTGATTACGTGTTTATAATAAACATGAAAAAATACGAGATGGCTTATCATCATTAAGCATAAGCAAAGCACGCGCATCAAGTGCAAAAATAGTTTATTCAAACTGTGCGTTCGGTCAAAACAACCGCGTACGATCAAAACATTAATATGCAATGATATCTTCACATCTTCAAGGAATTGTTCAGTCTGTGTTCGAATCACTTTCGATGAAATCGAACCGTCGTTTCCGAGGTTTAACCATGTTTGTTTTTAAATTTCGGCGTTGGATTGCTCGAGCAAAGTGTTAAGCTGGGTCGGTTTGTAATTTTCGATTTCCTTGGCAATTCCCTTCTCTAAACACCACTTTTTCCAAACCGACAACCAAAAAGCAGTGCTTTTTACAGTGTTTTCGTTGTTGGAGCTGTTTTTCAGCCGCGGTGGCGAAAGGAAACCTACCTAAAACGCCAGCCATTGTTTCGCTCGCAAATTTTCAAATTTGTTGCGACATCCAAGGCTCGCATTTGATTGGCTGTCTGTGAGTTTCTTTGATTATTGACCGATCAGAATGTCTGATTTGTTTCTTTCTTTTCACTGAATTAACTCTCTTCTGCACTGAATTACCTGAAAACTGCATTTATCTTAACCAATCAGAACTGAGTAATTTTTTCACGTATATTATTAAACTTCAAAAGCAACGACTTAGACACTCAATTATTTTTAGCACCATTCACGCAGTGTACATCGACCCCCTTTCCCGCCCTATCCATTCCCACACAACGTGAGAGCAACAATGTGTGTACAAACCCAAGCCATCACGACTCAGTCCGTTAGTAGGATGGTCTGCCTCTGCCAGCCGACCGACTGCGGTGTAATGACCAAAGCTGACTGTTCCACTGTGATTAGCAACGGCAAACAAATCGTACAATGATTCTTCGTTGTCATCTTTACCAAGAGTGAAGCGAGACATGTTCAGGCCCCTAACATAACGGCGACGGAAAAAAAAAAAGAAAAAATTTCTCTAATGATCGGAAATATAAAAACTTTTCTAAATCCTTAGCTAAGACAATTAGCTTTGCCAACGGAGACAAAAGCTTCTTAAAACAAAGAAAGTGTCAGAGAACTGGCTGCGCCTTGCTTTATTACATTACGAAACACTCTCAGAAGAGAGATAACTGGAGATAACACGAGTGAGACAACATCATAAAAGAAAAAGGCTCTGACCCGACGTGTTTGAAATATCATCTCAACCGGAAAAAAGAGTAACAACAGATGAAATAGCCTCCCAAAATTTCACTTAACTGCGGGTAATGTTATCAGAACATTCCTTAAAAAAGCATGGATGTCGCTAGTTCTCATGCAACGTATAAATAAATTCACCAACCTTAACGGAAACTCTACCAATTTCGTTATCTTGTCTTTAAACAAAATGTTCCGGAAGGAGAATCTCTTCAGGTGAATGATAAGTATCTCCGGCAAACGCCACACTGACAACTGCTTAGTGGCCTCACGATGGGCTTTACACTGAGGACAGTACCTGCAAATCAGCGAGCAAAGCCTTACTCACTGCGCAACAATCAATTTCGTACGCAGATTTCATATGCTTTGTAAATATCAACGGCGAAAGCAAGAGGGTCTCAGTGGCGTTAACCGTTAGCCATAAAAGCGCCAAATTATTTAGCCGTTAGGTGTAAAATTTGACACATTTCAATCGTTGGTAGTGAAAAAAGTTAACCGTAAAAATATTCCTTTAATGTACAATGGAAGGGAACTGTATTGTTAGTCATAAAATGGCTAAAAATTGTAACCGTTAACCATAAAAGCCATCAACCCATCGAGACACTCGAGCAACATTCATAAAGGGAAAGCTTACCAAGCGTCATTTTCACTCAATGTCTCGGGTTCTGTAAACAGCTCTAGACACTGTTTTAAAGAACAACTGTACGGCTCTGAAGAAAGAAGAGAAATATTCCTTTCAGAGTAATAAAGTGGATTTGAAAACGCTTTGTAACAAAACATTTGAAAAACTCGAGTCAAAAATAATCAAGGCAACTACTCACCTGACATCATCATTGATTTGAATGACGGATGTTCTTCGAAATCCTGAAATAAAGTGAAAAAGGCTAGTAAATGCGACAAATATACTAATGATGAGCTAGCACTGACGAAACCGTTCTTGCTAGACGAGATCATAAAACTATTGCTTTCAACAGAATATTGATACGTTTTCAGCAAAATAATATTTTAACAACTTTCTCTCGGAAACATTTAGTTAAGGCTAACCCTGAAAATAACTTTAAAAAATAACAAAAAGTTAACATCTGAAAGTGTGCGACATGTGTTCTTGTCAGGTATATCCCGTACACTTTCAAGTGGAGACAGATACTCAAAACAAAGCATAGCGAACTGGTGATATAGAACTGTATATTTAACGCTTTCACTCCCAAGATCTCCTTAATTCTCCTTACTATCTGCCATACAAGCCTTATGAAGTTAGTTCGGAGAATTTAGTGTTGGATCAACTACTAATCCCCTAATTGATATTATTCCTTATTCTCGTCACTTCTCTGTTTGATATTGTATAAATATTGTAAAGAGAAATTCTGTTTTGGTCTCTCACGGGAGTTTAAGGGTCAAGTTAGGTCCTAACATACCCAGTCTTTTTTTTCGTCCACGTCAACAAAATCCGGTGAACGTGGATAATTCCTCCAGTCAATTGAAATGTATTTGTTTTCCAAATTCAGCGGCGTTGATCCTGTTGCAGTAAAAAAGATTATAGTTACACGGTACAACACGACCCTTTTTTACGTTTTCCTTCAATTTTGCAATAAGAAAGAGCCATTGAAAAAGCATTTAAAACAGCCTTTGCTGACGATGACGATGCCCTAGCTGTTGTTCAAGTTGTTATTTCTGTTGTTGTTCTTTTTCACATGAATCAAATGGTATTACCCCTTACTCGACACGGAGGTACGTGTAATTCTCGCCGAGCACAAAATCAGAAGGTCTAAGGTTTGACAATACGTGGGGAAACCAGAATTTTTCATGTTCCAACGCTCTTTACAAATGCCTCAAACAATTTAATGTACCTTCATCTGAAAGGCGATTTCCCTCTTGTCCACCGACAGCATCTCCAAACTCTGTGACAGGCTTCATGTAGAACTTGGGCATGTTGCCTTTAAGGGGACCCACCACACAGGTAACGCCTAAAGAAAGAATTCAAACGATTTCGTCAATGCCTTGGCAACGGGAACAAGTTAACGTAATGAGAAGGTTAAGGATTCAATTGAATACAAGCAGCAACCTTTTAGATACCCTGTGGGGCCAAAATACATGTTATTCCCTTAGGTAGAAAACTGTTTGTTGACAGAAAGTTATGTTGTAGATGGTGACTCTAAGGAATGCATGACGATCGACGGATATACTCGAGCTCAGAGGTAGAGGTTTTGCACCAGAGACAATGTTGGCACAGGATGATAAGGCAACATTTCAACCCAGATATAAAACAATTTTCTCGTCGTTTGACTCACCAGAGTCAACTCTTGAGGTAGATGTGTCACCTTTTGTTGGCGAATTCTGCTGGCTACCATCACCAGGCTGAATAATTACTGAATACCTGCCGCAAAAAAACAAACAGAACAAAACAAAAATAAACATAAAAACAGAAACGGAATACTCATTCATATTAATAAGTGCCGTATCTTGGTAATTCAAGTGAAAAAATCTCGCCCACGTGTTCTTCCACCTTAGCATTAAATGGCAGCCCCTTTTTAGCACTGTCAGACTAAACCTGATATGCCCGTCATTTACAAGGAAGTAGCAGAAATTCCGATTGAAAATCATGATTATAACTTTTGATGCAGTGCAGTGAAATGCAAAAAAACAACAACAACCATATCAAAATGGAAGTACAAAGTCAAGATTCGACATACTTAGCATACTCTTCAGCCATAACTTGTAGTTGTTTGAAGGTGGCCTTTGAAGCAGGAATGCTGATGACGAAGGGCAATCCAATGGGTTGAGGTAGCCTTTTGCAGACCCTTTTATGAGCTGTCCAATGATCTTTTTGACATCGTCTGCATAACACAAAAAAGAGTGGTTGATAAAATGACTTCTATCTCCTCGCATCGCGTCCCCCTTTCCTCTTCATCCATCCCTATCCCCTTGCACCTGTTGATTACGGGTCACTGAACTCGTTTACGAGAAAATCGCGATTTACATCCCTGGCGGACATCCGGCCATAATCAGAATAACTGTCCTCTACAGAAAATTTTCAGTTGAGTAGACAGCCATAAGTTAGTCACTAACCAGCAAAGGTTAAAATTTCTTTCAGATCGTTACAATTTCTTTCCTTCTATGCAGCAATGGTTCGCGCTTCAAAAACGAGTAACTGGCTAAAAACACCGACTGTTGGCGCATGAGAACACTGTGATGAAAGTTGCCATTTTGTTCTTGCGCACGCGCTGCTCACGCATGAAAATGAAGCGTAGGCAGGATGCGCTATGGAAAAGAAGGGAATACCTCAAGATACAGAGAAGTAAGACAATAAAACATTCTTTTTTCCTTTGACTTACTGATTACAATATCCTATTCCCCAACATTGAGTGCATCTCCGTAGGGTGTCATTGGGCCCCGGGCGCTTGTAACAGCTCGCACAATGAGAGGGCATCACTCGTGGACACACTGTTCTCTGCGAAAATAAAAACACAAAATAAGTAAATAACACCGGCCTGCTCGAACTCTAAGTTTTATTTCATCTCAAAGAAACTCTCTCTCGTGCCAAAAAGCCATCAACAAACCATTTCTATCTGCCTTTTACTTCGACTGTCGCTGATGTTTTAAATATCATTATTTGTCTTTTTCCTTGCGAGCAAACTCGAGAGATCCTTAAGTTGCCCTCCTTCAAGAGGATTAAGGGAAAGAAAGAATGGAAAAAATCTACTTTAAAGGGGCTATCGTTTGCTCGATCTCCCCAAAAACCAAAGCCTGTACAACGATTTGCCATAATACCAGAAGTGGGCCAGATTACACTGCCCTGTGGACAGTGTATATTAAAACCGTGACAGTTACAATTCCGGAGAGTATGCCTCGTCTCAAGCATACTCTACAGAGAAATCTATTATAATCGGTCCGGAGGGTTAGCTTTCGGAACTTAGAGGTGATACCTGTATTATTGGTACTTCATACACTGGTTCGCCCGCCTCCTCTTCACTGAGCACTTCATAACTACAACGAAATAAACACATTATAAGCACCTTCGATCTGACAAACGTAAAGACATACTACTAGCTTAACGTACAAAATGGCGTTTCTACACTGCGAAAAGCTTCCTAATTTCTGCATTGGCACAAACACAGTATCAACACATTGCAACTGGATTAATGCTAGGGTTTTTCTTTTAGCGAACAACGAATTGTAAGAAAATTTGATTATTGTCCAAAAAACCTTACAATCACACTTATTTCTTGAGCGTCACAATCTACCGATAAAATTTTCGCTTACATTCTCCCACTGTTTTAGATTCTCTTCGTATTTCAAGCAGGGGCGTTCCCTTTTTCCTTGGCAATTAACTGCCACATTGTAGTACTTTACATACATGAGAGTGTGTATATACAATAAATTTCAAAGCCCCAAAATTTCCAAACGTTCACTGGCGGAATATGAACCCAACCCCTTCTCCTCCGGGGACTTCGTACCTATGTCACCTGAATTAAAAGCCACCTGTTTGAGAGACCATGCTATCTCTTCCTAACTTTCTGAGGACCCTGGCCACTAAGCTTTCAGATTTAACCCTAACAAGTAATAATTAAAAGCCACATGTTTGAGAAACCAAGCTATCTCTTCCAAACTTTCCGAGGACCCTGCTCACTAAGTCCTCTGAATTAACCCTAATGAGTACTTACACAACTATAATGTCATTTGACATCACAGAAGACAAGCTGGCTGCTTTTTCAAATGCACGGTGAAATTTCCCTCTAAAGACTTCATAAACTCTCATCTGTGTAACAGTAATGACAAAAAGGACACATTTATGTACAGTTTATGTGAAGTTATCGTCTTGAAACAAATATACCAAGGGAGTCTGCCGCTAATTGTAGTATAAAGTTGCGCATTAATTTTTTTTAGGTCGTTTCTTTAAAATCATGGTGCAAATGAGTAAGTTATAAAAGCAAGCTGGCAAGTTTTTTAGAGAAACTGGTGCTGCGTCTGTGGGAGAGTATAACAGGGTGATTTAGTGTTATCAACTGAGTTGAAAACGTAAATTGGCTACCGTAAAGAGTTTAAAGGCTGACGTTTCGAGCGGCAGCCCTTGAAGTCGCTCTGACAAAGGGCTAACAGCTACAAACGAGTAGCCAGCACATTACAAACGGATAGATCTACCCGACAAACCGACTGCTAACGAAACCCCTGTGTTTCCAAACAACAATAGCTTGAATGAGGCGTCAGAGATTGACGTAAGCGAACCGTGGCGTGTGGAAGAAAGAGAGTTTTTATCACTGATGCGAGACGATTCGTTAACTTGCAACATGGCTAACCTTCGCTAGGAGAGACATTTTAAGCATTTTTACTCACGTTATTCCTTTGACAGACTTTAAGGTGCTTTAAATACTCTTACTTTACATGAACGTTTTTAAATAACAATCGTCTACAGTGCACCTACACGGTTGGTTTATCAGTAACCATGCTTACAAAAACAGTCACTTACATGATCAGGTAGAATTCCAGTAATTCTTTCTACGGCAGACTTTAACTGCTCGACGTTCGCCTCCAGAGCGACTTTCACCCCAATCTAAAATGAAAACGAAAAAGTTACCCATTTGTGTCTAAACTGGACACGTCAGTTTAAACAACGACAGAAGACACTGAAAGATTCATTTACAGTGTATTTCAAAAACTCAAGGGTTAATACTAACAGATAAACAAAACTAAATACAAAATCAATGGTGAAATTGGTTTGCACCTGACAAATAAAATTAAAGTATATTAATGTACAATAATAATAATAATAATAAAACAAATCAATGTATAAAAATTTTAATTAAAGCATGTACGTGTCACTTTTATTTTCCCTTGGTTTAAAGTTTTTGAAGCCAGTTTGGTTTTGAGAAAATAAATCCATGAAAAATTAAACCTAACACCCCTCTTTACCTTGAGAGGAACTCTGTTGTAGTCTTTGAAGAAAACATACACAGGCAGCTTTTTCTGGTCTTTTGGCAGTGGTACAGACAGATTCATAAAGGGATCATATTTTATAGAAATCTAGAAAACAAATTTAAATAAATAAGTGATTTATTGTATACAATTTCTCATAAACTGAGTTCTGCAATTCATAGACTGAGTTGCCCCTAAATTAAAGGGAGCAGGAAATGATTAGAAGGCTTGAATGACTCATACATGTTGACAGCAAAACAAATCCATTTGGACTAATTTTCAACTATTTAGCACATGTTAATGCACAATTTAAAGTAAACAAAAGTTCTGAATTTCCATCTGCTTGCAACAGGTAAGAACAGTTGACCATTAAAACGGAGAAATTTTGAAAACAAAATTCCTCTTAACTTTAAATATATCTGATTTTACAATACTACCAGCTAAATTGACTAATCAAAACATATACACGTAGTGCATACATGTGGTGGCTGCATGAAACGTGGAAAGAATTACGTGTAAAGTATCCTTTTCACAGCAGCCTCCCATTCTTTCTTTGGAACAAATAAGAGTACTTTTGTTGAAAGTTTTTTGAGTGTGCATCTTTGATGGACTTAAAGATCATTGAAGTCCACTTCAATCGACTCCACCATTCTCCAAACTAACCTTCTTACACACTGGGCAAGTGAGTTTGGATTTCAATTGTCCTTGGAATAAATCTACAATCACTGAATCATTCCTGCTCTTGTATCTCCTCCACGCTTCATTTGCAACTTCAGCATCAGGCCTCCCAGCTCCTTCCACCTCTTCCACATAGGGCTTCTCCTTAACTCTGTTAAGATCCTAAAAAATTATCCCATGCTCGTTAAAAGCCTCAGGATGTGTAGGATTTAGAGCAAATGGTTTCAAATTTATCTGCAGCATACAGGTTTACAATTTATTATTTTACTAACAGTCGAGAGTGACTCATCAAAATCCTTATATGGATTGCTTTGAAATAACATGTAAGGTTGCTTTACGTACTACACCTACTGGAGGTTCCAGAAAAAAAATTGTTTACATCTTTTACCTCATGAAGGCCATCCAATAAAAAGGCCATGAATTCCTGAGCATCCTGCTGCATAAACCCTTTGAACTGACAGACTTTCTCACCCACAATTCCCTACAAGAAATGTTCAGTAAGGTATTAATTCAGGAAGAGTGAACAAAACTCTGGAGGCGCTTGCCAGTGTTGGTCTAAAGAAAAAGTATAATTGTCTTTGCACTCCATTCTTTCAGTTTTCAAAAATCTACAGGACAACTTACAGTAAGTTATTTTGACAGATTTACTAAGAGAAAAACAATTTTAAAACAATAATCTGTTTAAGCAGAAAAGCACCAAAACAGCATGAATAAAAACAACAATAATGAAACTGGTTAGCAAGGAATGGCAAAGATATACCCAGTAATGTACACATACCTATTCTTTTTTCTTTTTTGGTTACCTTTAGTTTGTATGGTGATAGAGATCTATCCTTTCCAGACCACAAGTTACTCATTAGGTTGGCAAAAATGATGGCAAGCTTTCCTCCTGTGCCCAATGGGTTTTCTGTGTTTATGTCCTCTTTAAACTGTTCACCTGAGTATACAACAATCCCAACCATCATAATCTTGACTGTGATATCCAATCAGTTACTAACTAAAGTCAATTTCACATTTTACAAGTGGCTTTGAGCAAATCAGCAAATAATGCATGATGGTGTGAGTTGTGTGTAAATTAGTAACTTTACAGGGTTTCTAGCATCCATTTGAGCCACAAACAGTAGTGGTTGATAGATACCTGTATAATATTGTCAAAACTTACCAAGGAAGAAGTCCCTAAGAGGTCTTGTGTTAGCTAAGCATTGGATTATGGAGTTCAAATAACAGGTATTTCCCAAGTTTTCCAACCCTGTGAGGCCGAGATAGGACAACTCCTGATCAGAATAATAATCATCATCATCATCAAAACTACTGCCACTAACACCCTTGGATGTTGCTGCTTTAATGGCGTCACTGAAGGGAAGGTCATTAATATTACTTTTATTTCCACCCATAACTCCAGTTTTAACTTGGCCATCACCACATCCCTGCACAGCAGGGGTGTATGATGGAGGAGGAGGTGGTATGGGAGGTGGTGGAGGTACGGTTGCCTCTCCTGCTGATCTAAAATTTGAGTCAAATGGTGACACAGAAGGAAGGGTTGACGTTGATGTACTAGGTTGCACAGAAGTGGAAAGAGTACTGAATGAAGTTGTCAGACTTTCTGCAGTAGAGGTCCCTGCCACATGTTGAACCTGAGAGTACAGATCCTGATCTGTCTCCTCTGTTTCCACAGGTCTGTCTGAAGTTGCATTCCCATTTGATGATTCATTGTGTGCATGTGGAGTTCTAATTTCACGATCTTTTGACAGAGGTTGAGATTGCGGTGAAGTTTTTGAATCACAATTTTCCAATAGGTCATCGCTATCAACAGCTCCTGGTATACATTCCTCAACAAAACCTAGGTTGGCACTTTCCTTATCTGAAGATCCACAGGAGTCACAAGGATTCTCAGACACAGAAGACCCACTTGTCAAAGGACAGTCAGGTTCCTTTGATGTCGCAGAATGCCCACCTTGAGGAAGTTTTTCCTCAGGTCTGGTAACAACTTCTTCACCTATCTTTTCTTTACTTTCCATAGCTATGTTCTTTGTTGATTCATTTGGCAGAGCAGCCTCAGTGTTCTCTCCACTGTTACAATTCTCATTAATTCCATTGGTTATTGGTTCTTTGGACATTGACCCAGGACACATATCATGGTTTCCAATTTTAAATAGCTGTTTGAAGGGCCTATCAATTGACAAATCACTTTTCACTAAATTTCCTGAAAAAAAGAAATGAAAAAATGACATTTTAGTAAGGTGTATTACATTTGAGTGTAATTTCATTTTAACCCTTTACAGTGTAACTCCCAGAAGAGATTAATGTAACTTCTCCCTACAATATCCATACATTAACCTGCAAGCAGGTAATAAGAATACTCAAACTTATCAGGTAGAAGTTGTTACCTTGATCAAATTCTTGTAACTTACTTAGAAGGAAATGTGTAGCAGCTAGAGGGGAGAATTAACAATCTGATCTTGGGAGTTGAAGATTAACTTCAGTATGACAACAATATCTTTGACAAACTTTTGGAAGACAACTTAGTCAGCATGATCTCTAGCAGTTAAAGTAAGTAGAGGTAAGTAAATTAAAATTAACTATATGATAAGCTGAACCCTACAAACATTTTGATCAGTTCTAACCAATACCCTATAAGAGGACATGTGTAGATGAGGTCACCACTATAAGCTTTTGCTTTTCTATTGTATAAAACAAATAGATTCCATGTCACCATGGTTCTCTAAAGTAATATATCACAGAAAAAATTAAAATGTGGTGAGAACATGGGTGACACATGCAAATGCACCCTGTGTGCCACGTTTTTGTTCATACCATATTTTGAGTCCATATGTAATCCATTACTGAACAGACACACAACAAAATAGAATATATTTGTCAAAATATATTCCATATTCTCAAAAATATGCCTGTTAGCACTGCAAGATCAAGCTTGGATATTTACAGTATCTACTCTATCTACCTGGGATATGTGGCTGTGTCAAACCACTCCATCGGCCAGGACTTGTCTTTTTTAGTGAAAATTCAAGAAAGGCTTTTGAAACTCTGCTCTGGGAGGTTTCCACATCAACTTTCCCTCTGCACAGTCAGAGAAAAAAAACAAGACAACGCCATCATAAACAACAACTCAGCATAGTTGAAGAAAAATTAAGACAAAACCAGTACAGACAACATGACTAGACTAAAATCATTATCTCTTGAATTCAGAACAATCACCCTAAAATGTTTTGGACCATAACAAAGAAAACATTGGAGAAAGGCTTCCTTTCATTTACAGGTGATGAGATTATAGTAATTATGCTGGAAAGCAGAGTACAAAATTTCTCTTCTATCACAGAATACTAATCACTCAATAGAGTTAAATGTATCGTTCTGTGACTCAGGTTTAATCGTCAGTGATCTGTTATCAGCGGGGGTAACATAAAAAAAATTATTTGTAAATTGTCGTCAGTGATCACTAAACACTACAGGACAGGAGATGTTGTGTTGTCACACTACAGGTGTACATGGTGTCTACATGTACATGTAAGCATCGAGGGTTCTAAGTAAAAACAAAGTGACTTGCAGGCTTTGATAAAAAATTGTTAAAAAAGTAGCCACAGAGCTCAAAATACACAGCACTAGAATAAATCAAAGTCAAGTTTGAACACTTTACAACCTAAAATTGGCATTCATATTCTCCAAACTGTTCTTTTTACATTCCCCCTAGTAATAACAAGGAGAATTTGTTTGACGATCAAGAGATTCCTAAAATTAGTGATTATTTCATTTATTTCCACCACCTTACATACATGCTCAGTTGATTCGTGGGTGATATGTACCGAAGAAGACATTAGAAGACAGTCACTCAAATTACCATAAATTTACAAAAATTATCTGTGGCAAACCTGAGTCGAAGATTCCATAAAAACAAAGTCCTTTCTGATGTACCAGAGTACATCTTTAGAAATGATTTTTCCCTGTGGATATATCCAGTAAAACAAATTAATTGATAGAGTTCAACAGGAGAACAAAGCTATCAACTGAAGCAAACATGGCAACCAACATCCAAAGTTATTGCATCAACCAGTAAACAACAATACTGTCAAAATTTTAGTCACCAAATACATATTTCATTTGCCATAGTGACCAAAATGGTTCCAATTTTGAGTGCTGAAAGCATAGAGAAAAATTATTGACACATGTGATAACAAACCTGGTGGAAAATTTAACTCCAAGTTCATCTTCATAAAGGACTGTATCAAGTGTGATAAAATTTTTGATATACACATGGACAATAACAAATTCACCCTGAAAGAAACAGAATTAGAAAATGCAAGTCAAGACAATTCTTGTTTCAAAAACCAAGAAATTCTGGAAGTTTGAAAACAACAAAGATACAGGTGTATGTGACCAAACAACATACAGTATCACTCTTCAGTGCTGGCTCTTGTCAAGCTCTACAATAAGATATAGTAAAACCCTGTACATTCAAACTCCCAAGTGAAACAAAGAAAGTCTTAAGTTAGCTTATAGTAAATGACTGGAAAATTTAGTCATGGGAAATCTGATCTTGAATGAGTTACCAGGAGGTTTGTTAGCAGGGTTCTACTGTTGGTACCACTGTATTGTTTACAAATGCATCCAGTTAAAAAACACACAGTCATGGAACAGTGACTTGTGATACTCAAGCAAGCCTTCGTTCTCTTTGGGTTTTCCCTCCTTTCTTTTCTGTCCCTTTGCACTTTCTATTTTATTTCAAATGATAGTTTGCTTAATTCCCTTCAAAAATTTCCAGTTATTTTCTTTAGGCTAACTACAGAGTGATGCAGGTAGATATACAACAGTTCAAAAATATTCTGTGATGTACACACACATGGGCAATTGTATTATTTGAAAATACACTTTGCTAAATTAACGAGAAGCAACATCAGGGACTTTAAAAGTATAATCACAAATTATACCATTGGACCATAAAGACACTGGTAAGGGTTTTGATGATGGCATTTACCATGTTATGAAAAAAAATTATTAAAAAAGCAAAATATAAGACTTAGTTTCTGATATTCCTACATAAGCCAAAGGAAAATCCTTTCAAGGAACACAAAAAATGCTGACCCTACATGAACTTTGAAGATTGCTATATTCAACTTAGCATGCATCCAATAATTGCATATAACTGTAGAAGAAAGGAGAGGAATGAGGAAAACTTCAGATTACAAGATATAAGAATCTGTGATAGTATCTTTTCTTGGTGATGAAAAAGCTAATAAGGAAATTTTGGAGACCTTACTTTAAAATATGATGCCCACCTTTCTCTAATGGCAAAATCAAAAAAAAATTCATACAGTGTATCTTTGCCCTTGCTGTGTAGTTATCTTACAAATTTAGAAAATGCAACTGAAACATTGCATACTGGAATCAGTGTATCTATGCCCTTCCTGTGTTGTTATCTTACAAATTTAGAAAAAACATCTGAAACATTGCATACTGGAATTAGTGGTACATTGACAAACAGGAAAAAATGTTTGGGTCCTGGTTAACACTCCATTCTTCCTCAAAAACATTTTTTTTTTTTAATTTAAACCCACCTTATCATACCAGTCATGCTTCAGATGGGTTAGGTCATATGTATCTCCTGTCTTTTCCGCACCTTGATATAAAAGTACCAATAGTTGGTTAAAACTGGTGTAACTAGTAACTTGTATCCTTCTGATACAGGTTAGTGACACATCTTTACTTGCATAACAGTTTTCAGCTTATAAACCTTCCTTGTTCATATGCACAAAATGTGAACCCTAAATAGTAAAAAATCCTTTCTTGCATGCATTGCTGATGAAAATAAATAATTAAGATTTTCAGTCACACTTGTGTCAAAGTACATAGAAACTGCTGGAAGATCAATGTGATCTTTAAGCTTAATCTGCAATTCAATGTCAATTTTACATTCAGAACGGATTCTTCATTAAACTATTGACTCGTGGTGAGGAACCAACTTTCAAAAAACATATAAGAAACTAAACATTTCATGAGAAACTAATGGAAGATCAATGTTATCTTAAAGCTTCATCTGCAGTTTGATGTCAATTTTACTTCAGAATGGATTGTTCATGATACTATCACCTCGTGGTAAGGAATCAACTTTCCAAAAATACATAACAAAACTAAACATTTCATGACAAAATACAAATGAAAATAACAGTGTACATCTCAATAAGCCGTTGATACCCTAAGCAAAGAAAACCACTTATTTAATATACATAGGCAACCAGGTTCGTAAAATGGCAAAAAGAGTGACACATTTGGCAGAGAGATTGACGAAAATTTAAATATACTGAAAGGAAAAGTATGAATGCAAGGTCATAGGTACACAACTTCCGTTCGGGATTCATGACAGTTTTCTGACAAATTGTAAACAAACATTGCTCTCAATTACTTTACAACAATGTCTCATCCACTTTTACTCCTTACCTTCACTTTCTTTACTGTTTTGATCTTCTTCAGCCTGAATCTTCTGATATTTGACCTGATCTTCCGCAGACGAATGGTCAGAATGCTTACATTTAATTGCCATTTTACCGCAAGCAGCTCGCTTACGTCTGGCGCGGACCGAAGAGTTCTTGATGTTTATGTGTGAGTTCGTCGTGGTAAATCGTGTTTTGAGGAATTAAACAAATAAATGTATTAATTTTTTTCCAATACCTCAAGTTGCTGGTTCATTCACAGTCGTTAAGGAGTTCTAAAACGCGAATAAAACGAACCCATTCGTCCACTGAACAAATGAAAACTTTACCTCTTCTGAGCCCGCCGTGACATCATATGGGCACGTGTTTGTATCACGCATGCTCAGAGTCAAATTTCTACCCATCATGCATTTTTAAATGTCTGCACTTCGCGCATCGTAAAGGCAGGGAAATAATTTCGCGTCCAGTTTGGAATACTTCCATTCCTATCAGTTCCCAATTTTGATTATCTACCTGTTTGTGTTCAATCAGAGGGTTCTAAGCAAATCTACCTGCTGTAATCATAGCCAGCGGAGCTTTTAGATTGCCTGTTCCGGTAGAGGTAGGAAAATTGAACTACCAGTAGAAAACTTATCTCTTTTTTTAGCTTATGGAGATCCCTCGTGCCCTCAAATGTCATCTGTTTATCATTTTCATTTAATATAATTTGTTTTGTTTACCTAATTGTTTTACTTTTCTTTCTTCAACTTCTTTTCCTTCCCTTTGTTCATTTTTCCTGTTTTTTTGTTAGTTTGTTTAGGGTTTACAGTGTCTTTTTCTGTCAGGGTTTCTTATATTCTTTTTTTGTTTTTGTCTTTTTAGTGTCTTATTTGATTCCATTTATTCATTTATCTACGTATCAGCAGGGTGGCTACGCGAAATAGACAAAAATGAATTCCTATTTTTTGCGATAATTTCGCGAATGGCTGCATAGTGTTTATCGCCTTTTATGGCGCCCGCTTCAGTTTCGGCATAACATATGAGAGTGGCGTTGTGTTCCAGAGGGAAACTGGAGTAATATTGCCGTCGGGGTTTCCGTTCTCAGACCGTGCACATTTTTGAGATTTCACGTTGATGTTTTGCAAAAGACGGTTATGAAATTTACAAAGTTTGAGAACACATGTGCTAAGCTATTTGCTCTGCCCATAAGATTTTTGGATCAATATCAGTATCTGGGCAACTGCCCATCTACCCACCTACCCCTCCCCTAACCCAACAACAGTTAATGTTGGGTTAGGGGAGGGGTAGGTGGGCAGTTGCTCAGATACTGATATAGATCCCGAATTTTTCTTCTTTCGCTACGTCTTCGTTTCGAAGAACCCATCGAGAGAGTTTGGAAAACTACCATGCACGCACGTCAATGAATATTCAATGTTTAATGACTGGTGGATAAGATAAGAATATAAAGCTTCGATATACTCACATATGAAAGACACAGGTAGTGTTTCCAATATCAACTAAGTTTGCCACGTCCCTTATTCGAAGTCTGCATTATATTAGGAGGGTGTAAGTTTCTAAAGAAACTGTGGTGCTGCGTCGGTGGGAGAGTATAACAGGGTTACGTTATCAACTAGGTTGATAACGTATATTGGCCACCGTGAAGGGTTTAAAAGATGCGTTTCGAGCGTTAGCCCTTCGTCAGAGAGATAGACAAAATTAAAACAATCGCGCTGACGAAGAGCTAACGCTCGAAACGTCAACTTTTATAAACTCTTTACGGAGGCCATTTTACGTTGTCAACTCAGTTGATAATGCTAAATTACCCTGCATTACATTACATTGACATATTTCAGGCAATGCTGCCCTTAAATTTCCCTACAATTGATATCTTTACAGATATTAAATGTCTATTAATCTGTATAGTTAGTCATCTTTTTATTCATTTATTTATTTATATTTATTTTAAATGGAACCTGCATTAAACGGTTACCCACGGGGAATAGCAGGGTGACCGCTTAAGACAGGTTCCACAGATTAGGCGTATTACAAAAAAAAAGACCCCGATGAAAAACGCCACTTTATTCCATAATTGACCACTTATTTTGTGCAGAATCTCGCTTACTTTGATTCCGGGGGAGAAACATAGATTGAAAATTACTTGGAATATTATTCTTAGTTTTATTTGAGTGTTCTCGCTTTCAGTAACCGTTTAATACAGGTGGAGGACGATAAAAACAAATCGTTATGACTTAGTTAAGGATGACTGCAACCACTTCATAGAGGTGACCGCTTAACTTGATCAATCAGCTTAACACCTGGGTCCTTTCCTTGTTTAAAGTTGTCTTATGCCTCTCTTTTTCACAAGTCCACTCAGCTGAGTGGTTTAAAACTCGGGTTCTGCCATTGACTGATGGGGCAAATTAAGAGGAAAAGCTGTAGAACCCGACCGACCCCGCTCTTGACCCTTTTTTCTATCTACTCCGGCGTGTCTTGAACTTGCGAGTGAAGTTGTGTTCGTCGGAATGCTTGCATCGATCTCAGAAACATCTTGACCACACTTGATAATTTTTTTGATGGCATGGCGGTATTTGGACAATCTCCATGCATAAATGCATGGATCAAGAGCAAACTTCATGAAAAGAACATCAAAAGCAAGCGCGGTTGCGAGTGACAGTCTCAACTGCTGATCAAAAGGTAGAGAACGAGTATCGTAATACTTATAGAGCCTGAGGTTCCAAAGAATCATTGAAGGTAGAGTAAATACAAGAAAAAATGAAACCAAAAGTAAATTAGCCACGGTAAACTCGCGTTCTTGCTCTCTCCTAAGAGCCCGTGCGGCCTGGTTTTCGTCCAGTGAGCTCACACGGCTAAGATGTAAATGGTAAGCTCGGTAGAGAAGTCCATAGCTCAAGAGTAGTACGAGGGCAATGGCATTGGTGTTTAAAAGCACATCTATTTCCATCTTCAATCTAAGAGGGACGTTATACTCAGGAAGAAGCGAGAACAAAACTGAATATATCGCTATAACAATCAAAGCAGTCATTACGTTTCTGTGGTTGACAATGGAGCGGTGCTTGTGCGGAAACGATATGGCCACGTACTGACAAAACGTTAAGGCCAGTAAAATCAGGAAAGATGCGTTCATGGTAACAAAGGATATTTGCGAGGTAAAATATGCACAGTCGATAAATGCTTTCCTTTTGTCTGGATTAAGATGAAATTTAAGGTAATGTCCAATATAAATATAAGCTGTCAAAGGTTCCACAACGGCACCAGTGAGGACATCCGCCACTGCAAGACCCACCACAAAGAGAGTTGTGGGTGTTCGGAACGACTTGAAAGGGTCTTTGATGATAGCCAAGAGAAGCAGACCATTTCCATTTATCGTAAGGACAGCGATAATCGAAATATAGATTCCAGATATCAAATGTGCAAGATCTACAGTGTTCTCGAGAGACGCCAACTCCGGTGGCGGAGGTGGTCGTTGTTCATGAGTTGTGTTATTCATCTAACTTTTGTGTTCAAAACCGTAGTACCGCACAGTTGGCCTTTTCCAACCGGTGATCGTTTTAAGTAGTTCTTCACCTCTTTTATGTTGTAAAGTTCTTTACACAGCTTACATAACTTCTTCCGTCCGTCAGTCATAAATCTTCCTGTACAATGATTCGAAAGTCGGAAAGATAAATATCATTTGATGAGTTGGTGATGTTGTGTATTTAGGTTGGCCAGAATTCAAAAGTTCCTATCAAACGCTGCCTTTGCCCATACAGCTGCGAAATTTGGGTAAAATAAGATTATTCACAATTGAGAATTGACCTATTTACAAACACAAAAGAAAAGCTCTACAATTGAGAATTGAGCGTTTTATGAAAAACAACAATAAAAGAAAAACAAGAAAAAAACCTTGGATCAAAACCCACGATGTGACGCAGTAATTACATTTTTTTTTTCTTTTTTTTTGTGTTGCTTAATTTGCTGTGAAAATAGAGAACCCAAACTTGTGCCAGGTCAAGAACGTCTTCACAATTTCCTTTATTTTTTAATCTAAAAGACAAAAAATATTATTGAAGTATTATCTGTCTTACTAATACTACTAGCAACAATAATCTTATTAGCATTTTTCTTTATCTAGGTGCTCTCTGATTCTGAGGCTTTCCAGGACAGGGCTCCTCCAGAATTGGGTCTTCAATTTTCCACCCTAGACCATGTAAAAGAAACTCGACAGAACGAAGGCGGCAGGATGTTAAAAAAGCTAGTTTAAAACATGTTTGCGGGGGAACCGCTCAGCTATCGATCCAAAGATGTGGAATCTCAAAGTTCAGAATACAGAGTGCTGTTTAAAATTCGCGAGTACCGCTTTGCCATATTTTGGCTAAAAGCTTTTGAACGAATTTTGACGTGCAAAAAAGTAGCCTCGTTGAATCAGCTGTTGAGAATGTCAGGTCTGGATTTGATATTAGATCATTTTCAAGACAGTCCGCTAAGTTTGGGAAATGTGTTTGTTTTAGAGACCGCCTTTAAATACTTTTATCATTTTCAATTCAACTGAGGTTGGCAGGCTCTCTTGTAATGGTCAAAAAACAGTCGTTTCATTTTGTTCTTTTCCCGCACGTTTTGTATTGCATTCATGTCGTGGCTCTCGTCAAAGTGTTGCAGAAAACAATTCAGCATTTATACTATTAGGCGAAACTTTCCTTCCACTTTCCCTAAGAAGGAAAAAAAATCATGTTTTGTGATACCATTACTATATGAAAGAAACTCGATAGGTAGAAGGCGGTAGGATGTTCAAAATTGTAGTATGCAGGGGAACCGGTTGGTCATCGATGCACCGAAATAAAACCTCGAAATTCAGAATGTTGTTCTCTAATTGTTTAAAAGGAGACAAATAACCGATGTACTGTGTACTTTTGAGGTAGCTGTGTTCCGATAAACTACACACAATTCAAGAATTTAAACACACTTTTGGCCAAACTGTCTTTGGAAAATGTCAATTAATCCAAACATCGTCTCTTTAAAATCGATGTAAAATAAATGTTTTCCATCCTCATTCGATTTCCCGTTCAGAAGAAGGTAAGCATCTGGTATTAAAGATGATGACATGTAGAAATGTTTGGTTTAAGATGGAATACGGTTTTGCAGAAATTCAAAAATAACTTGATCAGCATATTTTCACAGATATGCAATAGGAAGGAATATATATTGTAAAGCTTATTTCGTGACAATGATTTCATACAAGTGACAAGTTCCTGGGCATTGGAATTTTTTTTTTCCAAGCTCTTTCTTTATCCACCAAAAAGGGTAAGAGCAATGATATTACCTAACCCTTTACATTCTACAGTTCTAATTCGATCATCCTTTTACTTACACCTTGAAAGTTAACTTCACCAAGACGTGTGTTGTCGATATTTTTATTCCGGTTCTCCTTGATTGTATATCAGATATAGGTGTCTCATATTTTTCATTTTAATCACGGGAAGTTTGAGGATACTCAAAATTAAGGAAAGAAAGAGTACTTCCCAGATTACAATAAGAACAAAGGAAACTAATTCATCTGCCTGGGAAATTGATTCTATAATTCTTTCCGCCTTCTCGATTATGTAAGCAGAATCTAAATGAAATTTGAAATTCGGACTGAGCTTAACATTGTGGTAGATGATTTTTGAATGATCTTCGACGTTAGCCTAAAAAAAAGACAGTGAGCAGATATCTTACAATATTATCAGTTTCTCCACCATATCAAGACAGAAACTTCACGCTCGTGAAAAGAAAGAAAAGTTTCCGGTCATGTTTCTGTCCAGCGTGTTCATTTTATTCGCAGTTTTCAAGTATGGCTTTTGGTTTCTAAGTTCCATACGTGTATCATAAATAGGAAGACAGTCGATTGCATTACAGCTTATCTATCTCTTTGAATTTCAGCCTGATCATGAAAGAAGCCACCGTTTAACAAAAAAAATTGATTATCTCGCTTATGTTTTAAACTTACGGTTCTTAAAAAGGGTAGTTAGATTAAGAGCAATACTAACCTGAATTTCACGGTAACTGAAACATTGAATTAAATGAAATATTGGAGGGGTTGATCATATACTGTCTCTTAATCAGAACAGCTGCTCAGAGAAGCGATTGGGAAAAAAGCGGAAAAAAAACTGGTCCTGATTCAGCAAGATGGACAGTCCAATCTACAAATTAAACCTACTTGCAATGGGTGTCGCAGACGTCTTGGCACCACTGGAATCACCCGTTTCTAAGCTGTAAACGTTAATGGGGAGAGTTCAATAACTGATTACCTCGATCGCTTGGTTTTTTATTGTTTTGTTTTGCTTCTTTTCTTCCCTGCTTTTCGTTCCCTAGAGAAAACGTCATGTTATGGTGACAGACAAGTGATGTGTTAAACTCTTCCAGAATAAAGACACTTGTTTTATTTGACTCGCACTATTTATTTACCGTTATTAGTTTTCAGTTACAATCAATTTGGTGAATACGTGTTTTGGCACTTTGCTCATCACAGCTTAAGATGCCAAAAGTTCTTTTTCGGAATGAACAATTCGCTTGTCAATCTAGTCTAAACATTTCATGATTTGAAAAAGAACATATCTTTGGGTTTTCTGTTTTTGTCTTCTTTTTTTACTAATGATAAAGAGGATCAAACTAGTCGCAATTATTAATAAACGCTTCGAAAGATTGAAAATCATGACAACTGTTCTCTTTTGTGAGTCATTTCATAGCAAAGTCGATAGCGCCCCCGCAGAAAGTGTATGCTAGCCCCTTCATCTCGTCACACCAACTAACCAATGATATGATAGATGACACGAATACAGTTGTCCTTTATTATGTACACAGTATCAAAGCAGCTAAATTGGCGGATATTCTTTGACATCGTTCACAATTTTCAAATCAAGCACCTGCTGACGTAGAAAAGACACCCTCTTGAAACATCCAAACCACGTCCTACAATTTGTTTGATTACTTTCTATAATTGAATTTCTTATCAGTGGTTCTGCCAAAGAAATTGGTTTCAAACTAGTTATTGAATTTACCACAAGGTCTTTTATATTTTGAGTCCATGACTTGTAACAGTTGGCATCGGCAAGCAAGAAGGGCAAGTGTAATGTTGTGGTCGTTGCCTAGGTACTTCAACTAAAGCAAGGCAAACTTTGAATTTGCTTTTCGATTCAAACACTAATGAGTTTCGCATGCAAATCAATCTGTTTCTGTTTATCCTTTCAACTAATTTCATGCTTCTTCAACTAATTTCATTGGTTTAGTAATCGGTGCTTCGCACGAAGTTATATTCTGAGTATTGCCCGGTGTAATGACGGATCTAGTTTGCACAGAAGCAGGTAACCTGGTTGGTATTATTATTAGGAAGCTTAAGCAGAGACCATTTATGTAACTGGATGTCTGCCAGAAAATAGGATTTTTTCCTCAAGTGCTTGCTTGTGTGTATCATAAAGTTTGAAATGTAAAAATAAAAAGAAACAAAAGATTTTTCAGCTGATTCGTTGATGTCAGCATACGCCTGAAAAGTAATAAGTTATATTCACATTTCAAGCGCAGTCTGTTCCTTAAAAACTTATCTCCTTAAACTCCTCTTTGAGCACCGTACAACTTATCCATTTCATCATTCAATGGCTTGGCTAATGATGGTCCGTATGTAAAAACGACAACTGTCGAAATTAAAAACGTTATGGTAAAAGTCCAGAAAAAAAGTCTGTCTAGAGCCTTCCCAATCTGACGCCAGGTCTCGCTCCAGTCTTCTTCTTCCTCCTTACCGTCAGTGGTGTTGGGGCGAGTAAACAGCTGAGAACCGCTGTCCACTGAGAGCTGGCTCAGACTTATTGAGCTTTTCTTGCGGTATCTTTCCTCACTGTCTTCGTGTTTCTCCTTGTGATCACTGCTGTAGTCCAGCACGACCACTTGCACCGGGGGCTCAACCTTTGAGGTTCGCTTCCTTCTCTTGGGCTTCCGACAACATCTGTAGATATTATTGATAAACAACATACCCTTGAGACAGCCAGGTGGCTGGGTAGTAGCGTGATGTGCCTTGAGTACCACAATAGTGGCGGTCAGCGCCAACGCTATTTCTATCATGATTATGATGTAGTATACACCAATTAGTGGCAGAGAGTCGGACTGTTCGGGGAGGGCCTCTGTCACGATCAGAAGGTAGACGCTCACAGAGAGAAGGATTGTACAACTGAAACCAATTCGCTCCCCACTCTCTACAGGAATAAAGAAGCTGACAAAAATCAGCGCTCCGATCAGCATGCAAGGCACCATGGAAAAAACAACGAAGTGCAGTGGTTTCCGGCGGATAATGAAGCTCAGGTGTATGGCGGTGAAGGGGTGAGGAAAACCTTTGCGATAATGTTCTTTCCTTCTTACTTCTATCCTCTGAATTGACCAGGAGGCACTCTTTTCAATCTCTTCTGTTGGAACGAAAGCAAATGTTATGTAAGTGGAAAGAGAGTACTTTGCCCCGAATATGTATATGGAACGCGTTTCTGGAAGTATTGAGACTAAACTAAGTATCTTTAAAGGACCCCTGAAAAAGACTGGCATGACATCATGATTGTGGCAATACCTGGAAAACAGTGATACTCACAAAACCGTGATGAGGTAGGTGTATTTGACCACAAATAATATAGGTTACTTACTTTACTTGCTTATTTATCCTTTTCGTACTAAATTTTAAGTTTTTGTTTTAAAAAAGTGTTTTAAACTTTCATCAATGATGTTATTGCTAATTGCTAGGAAACTCCTTAGATTCAATTAAAGTTCATTTTATTGACGACTTGATGAATATCTCATTGCACATTCTCTTTCCAAATATTTTATTAGGCCCTCTCTATACAGTCACCAACTAGTTGAAATTCAATTTCTATTCTCTGGGTGACATACCAAATTGTCCGTCCTCGTCACTCTCTCGGCCTTTCCTCGTCTCTAAATGGACTTCATCTGTTTCTATATCCAGAAGTGTCTTGTCTGATGTTAGCGACCCAAAAATCATGTCACAGCGATGTTGGTCGTACGGAAAATACGTGACATCGAGGCTACAAGTGCTCTTGAAGGACACCGGGGAAATCCAGTCACTAATGCCATTGTGGTAAATAACTATCCATGTCTTGAATTTCTCTGTGTATCCCGCTTGGGCGACATTATCATCTGCACTGTAAATCAATGAATGACCCGTATCCATAAATCCATCTAACAGTTCCTTTTTTTTCGTCCATTTGTCAGTCATTCAGCCAGTCAGTCAATAAGTTAGCGAGTCATTTGGTCAGTCAATCAGTTAGTCGATTACGGTGCTGGTCTGTAAATAAGTCAATCGGTTAGTCAGTCAGCAGATCATGAGCAGGACATCGATCTATCGCTCGATCGAATGATCATCAGTCAGTCAGTTAGTTGGTTAGTGTTTGGTTCGCCGGTCAGTTGGTCGGTCAGTCAGCTAGGTAGACAGTGAATCCGTCAATAACGGGAAAGGGAGATGAAAATTGGGGTGTTTACAGTAGAATAGAGAAATTGTGAGATTTGAGTGAAATAGTTTGTATTCACAGTTTCAGTAATGTAATAGGTAAGAACTTTTATTAATACTGACACCACTATTGACTCAAAGATCGACAGAGAGAAAAGACGGAACGGGAACTACAGTTGTGTGTTGTATGATAAACCAAGTAAAAAGAAGTAGCTTTTGAGAGTGATGGTTAGTAACTGCGAAGCTTAGGAAGCTATATTGTAGTCTGTACTCACGAGCTGGTAGCGTACATCAGCTAAGACTATTCCTGATGTAATCAAGTCAGTAGACCAGTGAAATAAATGGGAATTAGAGTTTAGCAATGGAAATTCCACTACATGGCTCTTCTTGTCCACTCTTACCAGGTCGAATCGAAATTTGGAATGTTGGTTTTATATTTAGAGTCGAAACTAATCTGTGGTTTAATTTTCATGGTTTTCTACGCTCTGTGATCAGTTTAGAAAACTCACGGCACCATCTCAATAAAAAAAGACGCAATAACAAAATCAATCCCTTGAGTTTTGTGGCACATTAGGCAGTTTGCCTGTTTTCGCTTTGAATTCTAATTGGCCTCTTGAGATAGTTTCCCTTCACGCTGATTGGTATTTGTGGCTTCTTTGCGTTTGCCTAACGACCCACTATCAAAAATTGCTCTATTGACCAATTATAGGTACTCACACCCAGCATGCAAGTAAAAGCCTTAACTCTACATGGAATCACGTACTTGTTGTGTAATACAATGTCAGGTGCCCACATCTCGTTGGGACTGACGAGAAGTTTCTCCACGCCTCCATAAATACTTGGTGTCCACATGAAGAAAGTGTTATTCCATTGCTGAAAATTTGCGAAAAAAAATACCATAGAAGGAATGAATTTTTGGAGTTATTTTTATGCTGATCAAGTTGTTCGTCTATTTAAAAATTGCTCGTGAATGGTAACAGCTACTAAATAAATTGATTCAGTTTGATCGGATCCGCTTCAATCATGTGATGTAAGGAAAAAATCGAAAAATTGACTCTAAAACTAGAAAAACTCCTACAATATTGGTATAAACATCAAAATCTTTAATAATTGGACAGAAATATATACCTGTTTGATGATTGTGTCTGTAGACACGAATTGCCCGTTTTTATCCTGTGAAAAAAGGTACTTTAGTAAAAAGTACAATTGTGCGAAAATTCGCGCAATACGCGTTATACACAGAAATATAGAGAAGTTTATGGATAAGGTGCGAAGATGTCCGTGTACAAGTAACAATTGTTTTTGTGACAGGTTTGGGAGAGATCCACATGAAATTTCTTTCTAGCTTAGTGTAACTGGAAACACCTCATCCGTTTTCTTGTGTGCACGAGAAATATTTGTTGCGTTTCCAGAGTGAAATCCCTTATAAGATTTCCCTTATGTGTAATGCATAAGGCCTAAAATGCACTTTCAAGTGTAATTGATTTTAAGATACGCATTTCACTTCAGGAAAAAGGAAAAAAAAATGCACAATTCTTCTTCACTTTCCTTAGAAGCCCTCGTCGAAGTCGTAACGATCATTTTAATTAACTGTTATTATTACTTCGAGATGAATGGACCTTACCACATCCACGACAGCTCTCAACTCCACCTGGACTCTCACTTTAACTTTTTCCATCGTGTTTAACACAGGTCGAATCATACGATTAAATGAAATTCCTCCAGAACTTGAAAATAGATCTTGCCGGAGTTGATGTTCCTTTGACACAGTTGTCCTCGGCCATCCTGCAGCGCATCCTAAATGGAGAAAAAGGGGGAAAATTGTGACACTGAAAACTCTGAAGTATTTCAATTGGTTGGCCTTCAAATGTCCGAGATGAGAATAGCTTTCGTACTTAGAAACCTTTAGTTTTATTCTTCAGGTCTACTGCCTACGAGTAGATTTGCATTTTGTTTTAGTTTCATGGAAATAATTGACTCACCGTAATTTAAGTGAAGGAAATGTTTGGCAACCTCGATAACTATTGGGCTCGTTAATCGAACTCAGTCGTGCAGAACGATGCGGAAATCTCATCAAACAATGTAATTTAAAGAATGACCTGAGTAAGGTCTGATCTGTAATCAACACTTTGACTTACTCTCTTTTGCTGTACGTTACCTTTATGCGGTACACGGCTAAGAAGTCAAACAATCTAACTCATAAAGTATACAATTAGTGATTTTCTAAAGGAACCGTAGAAAACTGGTGCGCACCCAGCCAAGTAGGTCCCCCACGCATTCCCTACTTCGTTCGAACGATGGAGAATTCAAGCCGGCGAGACTGAGGTCCGTGTCGTGCCAGAACCCACGCAGACCTTTCGCACGCTCACGTTGCTCGCCAGCCAGAAAACCACCATGTGATGAGATAGATTAATGAGAAAGAAGATGAAGTTTTTAGCGCAGTTGTTGTAAAAAGAAATTTGCCACGAGTTTAAGAGAAAAGAAACATTCCTCTTCAGGTTTCTTCGTTCCAAGCCTTTGACAAATGGCTAATACATCTCATAACGTTACTCAAAATTTACCGTTTTCATTGCTTTATTTCCATTAGCCACCGGAATTCCTTTGCCATCAACTTTACTCATGCCACCAACAAGCAGCTTACTGTTAAGCGCAGTTCTATGGCTAACGAAGGCTTCTGACTGAGTTACGCTTAGTAGTCATGACAAAGCATTTAAAATTCGCTTATAATCGCTTACCTGCCTGGTAAAGGAAAATCAGAAGAAAAAGTACCAGGAAACTGAAGTGCATTATTTCAGGTACTTTCTGAGGGTTTTGTTATCAATAAACGTCAGACTACAGGAAAGGGCCAAACACTGAAATGATCTTGAATAATTTGAGTAACTGCATTTTGAGTAATTGCCAGCGTGGATAAACAAAGCGTGCTTTATTATGTCAACGGCACCGACCGAGAAGTTTACAATGAGAGTTCATTAGGAATTTAATTTCCCTAGAGGAACAAAATTTGGAGTACATAGATTTAAAACAATTACTTCTAAAAATTACCTGATGGCGAATATTAGTTCTCTCAGTGAACAATTCGTTCTCGGCTCGACCCGTTCGTTAGGGATTTTATTAATTTTCTTTCATTTTTTAACCCTTTAGCCCCCAAGATCTGATTGTTAATTCTTCCCTAAAGTTGCTACTCATTTCCTTGTAAATTAGTTACGAGAATTTGGTGTCAGATCAAGATGACAACTTCTACCTGAAAAGTTTGAGTATTCTCTCGAGTTAGACGGTTTATATCAAGAGTGAGCCTCTCGGCAGGTTTATCCCGTACTGAAATGTAAACAGATCTAGACCTCGTCACGACAGAAGAAACCAATCACCTTCACTGAAAATTTTAATCGGAACCAACAAATGTTCCCTATTTCAGCTCAGGTTGACTTCCATCAAAGAGAAGAAATAGAAGAAGAAGAACAAAAAGACGTCGAACAAAAAAAAAAACTCTGGGGTATCAAGGATAAGAATACTTGTCTCCAGTCTATTTGAAGGAGCAGAGTTTTTTGATGCTTCGGAGAACAATCAATCATGCAAGTTGAAAACTTCACTTCAAGTAATGGTTGCTGTCTTTCAGAGGGTCTCAATGGGGTTAACCTTTAGCCGTCAAACGGTCAAAAAATTTAGCCGTAAGGAGTAAAAATTGACAAATTTAAACGGTTGGTCATAAAAAAGGTTAACCATTAAAATTTGTCATTTAATTACAAAAGGAGTAAGTTAACCGTTATCAGCCGTAAAAAAGGCCAAAATTTCAACAGTTTATCGTGTTACCAGCATACGTGGCTGTACTCAGTACTATTTGTCAGCTTGGAATTCACTCAATCAGCTCGTTCTGTTCGCACTGCTATTCGCCGGATTGCCACCACCTGAGAATGGGACTGGTTTTACAAGTTCAATTCTACATCTATAAAACAGTTAGTCTTTAAAAAAACTGTTTACAACTGGACAGACATTATTTGATTAATTTATTGAACACCAGAGCGGACTTCGCCCAGCAGTTTCCAAAGAGGTCAATTGAAATTACATTGACCGAGCGATTAAAGCTTTCCTGCATGTGCGTAAATTGTAATGGAAGAAGACACAACCAGCGCCAAAAACAACCAGTAGAAAACACGGTCGAGTGCACGAGCGATTTCCTTCCAAGTTTCTTGGTTGACTTCTTCTTTAGAAACCGAGGTGGGTGGTGTTTTCTCCCCGAGGGTGTCAGCTGAAGTCTGCCCATCCACCTCTCCAAGCTCCACATCAACAATTTCCTCCATTGCAATGCCAGTGGTATTTACTTTCCCAACTTCAGGAGATGAATTCAAATTAGCGTCATTGATACGTAGTCTTCTTTTGTTTCTTCCGCAGGAACCAATCCTGTTAAACACTGAAATTTGAAAAACAATGAATGTTTTTGCTTTTTGTTGAACCGGCGGTCAATATTTGCAAATATGCTCTTCACTGAAAACCTCTGGGCATTCATGTCGTGGTGGTTGATAAAACGTTCATCGTTAAACTCAGCTGTAAACAAAGGCCGTGACCGAGATCAATTGCCTTCCATTCAATTGCAAAAATGTTTTTAGTACAAAGTCTGTCACTGTTTTCAAAATAACTGTCTGTGTTTTTTTATTATTATTATTATTATTATTATTATTATTATTATTTTTATTATCGTGAATGCTTCGAGGGACGTCTCAGTATTTGCGTCCTCGGTAGGTATTATTATTATATCTTTTCTCGCCGAAATCATCGTCGAAATCGCACATGATCCTGATTACTTCACCATGTCATGAATTACCATTAAAATTACTATTGTCGCTTATAGACTTGGTGTTAACAACTTTCTAATTTACTCATATGGACTGATTATCAGTTATTAACCTTACCTGTTATCCAAGTCAAGATGCGGGGTGGCTCGGAAGTGGCGTGGTAAGCCATCATGACTACAACTGTGGCAGTCAGCGCCAGACCGATCTCAACCATGGTCGCAATGTAGTAAACACCAATAATGGGCAACTCGTCGGACTGTTCCGGAAGCTGGTTTACGATGACGAGTAGGTACACACTGACTGACAACAGAATCGTTGAGCACAGTCCGATCCTTCCACCCACCTCATTGGGAATATAGAAACTCACGAGAATCAGCAGCCCAATGATCATACAAGGAACGATGGTGAAAAGGATAAAGAACATGGGTTTACGTCCAATACGAAATGATACTTCAACTTTGCTGAATATCGGTGATTGCTTCTTATCCTCGGTCTTGATCTCAATGCTTCTCAGAGACCAATAACCATTAGATGTGGTGAGGTTAAGCTCTAAATAATAAAAATATCAGAAAACTAAGAATAATACACAACTACTTTCCATGATGTTTTGCAAAGGCAAGAGTTGATTTGAGTTAACTTGGAATTCTATTTCTTCAAATTTTCACATAAATATTGTCATGTAACCTTACCTTCCTCAGGATTATCGTTTTTGATGTGCGTGGTATCGATATTTAAAAAGGTACGGTCAGATGTTACAGAACGAAAAACTAGGCTGCACTTCTGTGTGTCAAAGGGAAAGTTCTTGAAACTAAGCCCACACTTGCTCTTGAACGTTGCTGGGGATAGCCACGTGTTATGTCCACCGCTGCTCACACGCACCCAACTTCGGAATTTTTCCACGTGCCCCGCCTGAACAACCCCATTATCTGCACTTAAGGTGGGAAAAAATGGATATGCATAAATTGTTCGTAACCTTTTGACCTGAGGAACTAAGACTACATAATGGGCACACGGACTAAAAATTTTGTTTAAAAGCTTCTGAGCTGGCGTCTAACCGGAGCCAGAGGGGAACGCTTTTACTACTTCATCACTGTATGCGTGTCTTTTTAGTCTTAATGAAATTTAAAATGCTACAATAGAAAACTTGGGCGCTCATTTTGTAGAAAAAATTCATAATTGCATAAGTGGTAAATAAAAGACACTTTTTCCCTCCCCTTTTTTAACTTGTCTGAGCATGTTATCTTCCATTTTTTCAAGTCGCAATTCGATGAAAAACAACCCTCTAGTCGATAACTTTGTAGAGTATTTTAAATATCTGTATGTCATCAAAACTGAAAAATAATTGGCGTATTAAGGCTCGTGTTACTTGGCATAACCACTCGGGCATTTGGATCTTTTCTGATCCTTTTTTTCGCAATAAATCATAATCTCTTGTTTTATTAGGATAGTTTGTTACTTAAAACTTCCAAAGTGTAATGACTTGAAATGCCGCAGAATTCAACTTACTTGTTTTCTAGTACTACATCAGGCACCCAAACTTCTCTTGGATCCACAAGTATTTGTTTCAAGTTTCCATAATTCTCGGGAGCCCAACGTAGGTAAGGATTATTCCATTGCTGTGGGCCAAGGAATACAATATAATACTTCGTGTTAGTAGCTCGTGTTCGGTTATCACCTTTTTTAGTTTTACTCTGTCTCCCGCTAATTACAATCTTCTAACTGAAAAAACATCACTTTAGACAGCTACACTGTGGCTTCAATTACTAATTTTGTCAACTTTTACTTTGTATCTTACTTACAACTTCGTGACTTAAATTCTGATCTTTGCAACCGTATTACTAACTGAGAACTGATAACTGAGAAACCATCACTTCAGACAGCTGCACTATGGCTTCAATTACTAATTTTGTGATCTTTTACTCTGCATCTTGCTTGCAACTTTGAAACTTAAATTCTTTGCAACCGTGTCACTCTAATCTGTTTGTAACAAGCTACCAAGCCAGGGTTAAAATTTGCTTAATTTTTTTTTTTTCGATAATCTTACTAACGATAGAGACAGCTAACAGTTAATTAACAGATTTTTCCTCGAAAAGGTTCTGAAAGGCGTTGTAAATGGAATCCAAGCGCATTTTAAGGGTATTTTCGTTCGAAAAACTCGCCTGGTCTTTCGCTTAGACTAATGGCAAAGCCGGTGTGTATTATGTCACACTTGTTCCTGCGGCTTGCGCAGTCTAAGTGCGTTTGCTGGAATTTTTCTCCAGCATGTCCCTTCGACTTTTTCACGTAAGTGACGCAGATTTTAGCGTAATCCTCGCACAATTTTCATTTTTAGTTTGAATCAATTTTCTCCTCTTTTGCTGTCTTTTTTTCTCAAGTTGAGTTTCGTTACCTTCTCCGTCAATTTTCAGGTCTGCTTAACTATTGTTCAAAGTTCTTCCCCCTAATCTAAGATGATTCTTAACCACACTCAAACAACTCAAGATTTTACTCCTGACGTATTAGTATTTTTTTAGAATCAAAAATTCGCTCTTAATTTCACTCTAACAAGTTTCCTTCTCTGAGGATGTTAGAATTATAAGAAAAATAGACTGAAGAAGATGCGCTGGCAACCCTAAATGAAAAGTTGCCATAGCAAATACTAATACGGCTGCACTTAAATGCGAATTCTACTTTCGAGTGTGACGGTAGAAATGATGTTAGGGCATATAATTATGGGAAAAACATTGCGTGAACGTGAAATATGCTCTTCGACTAAAGACTACCAATCAGACATTCTTTTAAGGGTAATCCATTGACGCGAAAGCAGCATGTGGCGAAGGTTCCATAAATAAAAAAAAAGTTAGTGACAATCTCCGAGCGTTAGTAAATGTCAAGTGCACAGCGTGAAATGTAGGTTGAAGTAAACCTAATCAAGTCTACAGAGAACGATAATCATCCAAACAAAACTACTTAACACGTTAGGACCATTATGGACTAAACATTTACTTTTCTCATACAGAGACATTCTACAGATTAAGGCAAATTTCTGGGTTTGCCCGTTAACAATCAAAAGGTTCAAAAGCTAAGTGAAGACACAATGTTTTGTTTTACGCTAATAAATATGAAATGTATCCTACTTACACACTCTCGGTCCTTATCGATAAAACATATGAATACAAATCAGAAAATCGCTGTCTTTTAAAATTTGCGCATTTTCGAACTAAGAGAGGTTTTGTAAGGAGATAGCCGAGGTTTCATGCCCTCCCTACCTCTTTTTCTACGATTCATAACAAGAATTTGATTTAATAACTTCAAAACTGCCACTCGCGGTTCATGTACACACTAGCAATACAATAAAAGGTTAAAATATCCAATTGGCCCTTAGTTAGGTTACACTGTCTAAAATTGAATCATAGCGTACCTGCGTGATCACCGTTTCTGTTGTGATAGTTTGTTCTTTATTGTCCTGTGTGACATGAACATATTTGGTATCAGGTGAGAATATTTTACCTTCAAAGGGTGATTGAGAGTGGAGGCGCAATTGATGCAGATACTAAGTTACATTCACGTTAAAATTTGAGGTTTAAAAATTATCAGCCAACCTAAAAGGTACATTTCTGGGTACAGTTATATTGTTGATCGCGTATCTGTATTGTAACAGAATTCCCACCCATGACGAGGTAGCAGTATTTACAGTATGGAGATATATTCAAACTAATCTTTCCAAGAGTCAATGTTTTTTTTAACTCTGATGTGCTATTCAGTAACACAAATTAAAAGAAAATAATGAAAAGACCCATATAATTATCTTAAACTAATAAATGTGTCTGAGTAATCCCACTTGGTGTGGGGCTGACCAGCATATAATACACCCCGTGGCAGGATGCGCGACTTGACGTGGGTTTCTCTTTATTGTAACTCTACTGGGGAACCACGAGAAAATAGTGTCTCTATTTAAGTCTTCACATTCTTATATTAGCTTCAATGGGTTCTGCGATACAAGTTCCTTGCAGTTGATGAGGAATGCATTATCTGGAGATATCGTGCAATGTTTCGCTTACCACTGCGTTGAGAGCCAGGAGCTGCACATCAAATTCGACTTTTACAACATCTGACGGCTTCAACACCGGACGTACCATTTTGTCATAAGAAGAAAGGAGAGCCTTTCTTAGTCGATACTCTGCTGAATGTGTTATATTGTTTTGTTGTCCCACCACTGCTAAAAATAAATAACTAACAGTTATAAAAGTTCATAATGATTTCGGTTTACTGCACTTTTTCTTTGACGAATTAAAACTGCTACTCTGCGGGCAAATCAGTTGTACGAAAGAACCACCCAATTATCGGTTAGCTTTATGTATCCTCTAGATTTTAACTTATAAAGGTCCAAGTGCAGCTTTTCGGTTGAATTTTTGCTTCAAATTAGTCATGAGATTCGGAACATTGTATTATTTGTTCAAAGTTAGCTTGCACCAAAGGTCACTTGTTGATTGCTCTCAGAAGCGTACAAGATTTCAGGTGCCATCATGCATCGAAAAATGATGCACTTTTGACTAATGAAGTCTGCTTGCGTCAATCCTTTGTAACGACCGGCTTAAAGGGTAACTGACGCCAACATTTTCCCCTTTTTTTTGTCCCGCTACATTCCTCTTAGGCTAAAGAATACTGAATGAGCAAATAAACGATATATTGTGCAAAACCAAATTTTCTACAATTTTTTTTTTTGACGCTTAATGAACGGCTATTTTGAAAACGTTCCGATTCAGGTCACGTGATGTGGTACGTCACACATGTGTAAGGCAGTGAAAAGCGTCATGTTAAGACTTAAAAAGTGACAACTTCGCCCTCGCTGTCCAGCCGCTGACGAAATTTATGAGCGGAAAAAAACATAAGATTGTTCCGTTCTGATATAGGCCACCATTTAGAGGCTATGAAATACGAAGTTAGCAATAAAATAACGAAGGTTGAATAATCGAAACGCGACGGATCCCATGTCTGTATTCGGAGCCACAGGTATTTTGCACGCCATTTCAAACAGCTGTAAAAAAATATATTCCCATAATTTTTTCCTCTTAACCATTATCGAGTCCTATACTCAAAGAAATATTTTTTAGTCCATGCCGAAAAGTATTTGACTTTAGATTTTGTCCGGTGTATATCACTGTGACCTCAAGCCCATCGGTTCTGGAGTGAGCGTGACTAAGCGCAAAGTATTGTCGCGTATTATGGGAGGTCGTCATCTGGTTTCGTGAACAAAACTCTTCTTCCACGTTCCGGAAATGTACAAGAATTATCCTTTATTTTTAACGGAGACTAGTGAGCAGCACAAAGGAAGACTTCTTGTTGCTGTAACTTTTTATTTCTTTCGACGCGTTTCGTCTCTGACTGTGAGTTCTCCAGGAATGATTACAACTAACATTGAGCAGCACATATAGCACATTCGTGTGCCTATTAAGTTTAATCAACTTCCAATGGAAGTGAATAATAACAGAAACATGCTGTAAATGGATGTTGCAAGAAACGCCTCGTTATGAGCGCCACACTCTAGCGTTGTTTCTCATTTGCGACCGGAAACATGATGAAATCAATCCTGTCCGAAAGGTTACTCGTTTCAAAAATGTACCACTGTACATTTTACAAGCGTAAATGCACTCACCATTCTTGGTTGAGGCGGCCGCGGATCCTCTTCTGACTCTCGCACTCTATTTAGGTTCGTCCTGGTGGTTCAAATCGCGAGGACCTGATTTAACCAACAGATTCATGAACCCTTCCATTATGTTCACCTTCCATCGAGGCCTCAAAATCCGAATAATCAGAACTCGACATAGAATTGCTTTCACTCGAACTACTATCCGCCATATTTACTTTGGTTAATTTACTTTGGTTAATTTACACACGTGTGACGTATAAGGTCACATGATCAAAATCGAAGCGTTTACGGCGAATGACCCAGGAAGCTGCATTTAGGACAGTTTTCCCGGCGAAAAGAGGTACAAAGAGGCATTCGAAGCACCTTGTATCTGTTTCAATGTGTTACCTGAGGCACTAAGACGGTATTCCCAAAAAGTGATCTTTTAGCTGTCAGTAATCCTTTAATTAAGTAGTTACTACATCGAAGTGGTAAAAGGCTATCTCAAAACAATGGCTTCTACAATAGTGCCACATCTCTAAGTTGTCGTATCAAATATGTCATGGAATTTGATAGTAAGGGTCAATATAGCTTCAAGTGCTGCGGGTTTTATAACTCATTAACATCTCCAGGAATTTTGCTGTTAAGTAAATTTCGATGGTATGCTTCATCTCACAAGTGTGCGTAAGGCGGCCTTGCTAGCTGAGGTTGTTCCAAGGTGACTTAGTATAGGACGTTTTACATGGACGCACGCGAAGGGAAAGTTGAAAATTAACCCGGGCGAAAATGTTCGCCGAAGCTTTTATACAGCCTCAAAGTACGATACATAACTGATGGACCTAAGATATCTGGAGAATAAGGATAAACTAGGGAACATACACCTTTGGATTGCTGTGGTCACTATTTCTTGAAAGATCAGATTGTCGAATGATTCTCGATCATTTCATAATCAAGAACGATGTTTTGAACAAGTTCTTAAAGTGGTCGATAATAGCAAAGATTTAACGCGATGTTTCTCTAGAAAGAAAATTTGAAAGCAAGAAAATCCATTTCCGAGACAACCGTTACGTTAAAAGCGATTGTGAACGAGCAGTATATATAGACGTATTTTGACATAGCCCAGTGCAGTGCAATGATTCCTCCTCGGATAAAGACAAAGGATCAGTGTCTGAACTTAAATATAAGGAGAGAATCACAGTCTTGAGTGACTCGTACCCTGAGTTTCAATAACGAGTACTTTACTGAGATAGGAGTTTGAAAAAAATAAGCACTATTTCCGCTATCTTGCAATCACTACCACGTATCCGTTTGGGCAGTTACAATGGCAGTTACCTCAGCTATAAATGTAGTAAATGCAAGTAAATTGAGCTGAGGGTTAGGGTTAAATTGCAGCCACAGTCAGTCAGTTCTAAACTGCAGTTGACACAAAATGCGTTTAATTTGTGATTGTCCTAGCCTTGGAACCAGTGCGGAAGTTGTTATTGTCGAATCTCTCGATCTGTTTTCTAACTTTAAATTATAACGTCTTGAACACACAGTATAAATCAAGCCTCTATTTTAACCTTGGATGTACACATTCAGCTCTAGAAGTAAGAAAAATACTTACCAGGCGAGTATGCACAAATAAACAATACAAAATGAGCATATTGGGGCCACATCTTCCTTTGCCGTAACAAACAGAAATGAGACGGCTAAACCTGAACGCAGAGAAAGAATAACCGGCGCACCTTAAATCTGTTTTGCTATATCATATATTGTTTACATAGCAACCTCTTGACACAAAGCATTACTTCTGGTTGTATCGGCTTCTGTTCTGCAATAGTTTGTACCCTCTCAAGACGGAAAATTATTTCAAAAAGGGGATGTTTTCATTGTTTTAGGATGTTTTTGGAGTGTGTTGGGGCAATCTAATTTTTATTTCACAACTGTTTCAATTCTACTTCATAACTGAAATGCGTTCAAAAAAAATCATGTGCGCCATAATGTCTGAGAAACCAAGCCAACGCCATGACGTCTGAGAAACCTCAAGCCAACGGCTTGAGGTTTATCAGACATCATGGCGCACATGATTAAATTTAAACACTCTGGGCACAGATCCATAATCCACGCGTGAAACAGGAAACGTTTTCGGAATTACGACTACTCGTTGATGTGTTAAATAATAATTATGAATGTTTGCAACAGCGACTTATAAAGAACTTTGGTGAGTAAAGGGAAGTGGTCGTGAAGAAAAAATGGAAATTAGGTGTAGAATGAATTACTGTTGGCACAAACGGAATGTCACAAGTGTTGTTGGTTTTCAGAGTGCAGTACGGTATCAGTATATTAAAGGGCATTACCTTAAACCGAGGCATTAACATAACGCTGGATGGAATCAGGGGTAGAACGATCGAGTATTTTTAATAGCTTTTCTTTGATTAAAGTAATGGTCACTATAAATGATGTCAAGGTCTTCCTTGAGATGTGATGAACCAATCATTCCAGCACAACCCTCAGTTATAGTTTTTATCGTTGACGAACGATTCCCAAAATTCTAATCTTGTTAAATATTTCTTGAATCACTTGATTCGGTTAAAATGCAGCTAGTGAAGCATAAGAATGGCAGGTATCAATACATATTACTTTGAATGATTTCGACGACTACGTCGTAATCATCCAAATTAATTAATATAAAGGTGGTCAAACATATTCTAACTAAATTATGTCGTCATTGGCGTCGTCAGTAAGAAGGCTTTTGGTCAAGGACGTGAAACAACGGCAAGTTCCAGACACCTAGAGGAGGTCAAGCATGGAAGTCAGAGAAAATTGTATTCTTGCTGAGGAGAGGTTGTACTGAGCATTAGTACTGAGGAAAAAATAAGTTTGGGCGTCGAGAGAAAAAGATGTGCTTAAAGACAAGATCCATGACGCGTTTTGTTTTTCTGTATTATGCAACAACTGTATCGTTAAGCAATTTACTTCTATAATCAATTTCCGAGAGAAATTAAATGAGAAGAAGTGCGCAGAGTCCACTTGATGAGATGATTTTTAGTGTACACGTGGAGAGGCATCTTCCTCAGAAGTTGACGAACAGTTGTGGACGAAGTGGATGAAAGGAGCTTGGTGACAGTATTCTAGAAAGAACCCCTTGGAATTTCATGGTATACCGCAGGAAGTAAACATGTCAACGGGTCAAGTGGTATTTAAAGTTGCCTAGGCTGTTGAGGCCTCGCATAAAACACAAAGTAAGTTCCATCAGTCCTAACGAAATTTCGAGAGTCACAAGGTAAAGGCGAAGATAAACAATCCCGCACCAATTGAAAGACTTCTGTGTCTGTTCAGAAACTCTGTTGTATGGGGTTCTTTGTTTAGCGAGAAGAAGTGGAACGCCCGAAAGGAACATACATCAACGAAATTCGACCCTGTATCCCAGAAAAATTATGAGTCTGGCAGTTGAAAAAAGACGCAATGTGTGGTCACTTGACGGAAGATTTTCATTACACTGTCCCCAACAGGTAACCCACGTCAGATGAACTCTCTGGGGGAAATCACTGATGGAGCTCTGAGGAACTGATTTTATTTAGAAGTTACAGGGGAGAAAGAAAAATTCGCGTAAACAACACAACAACTATGAGATTGATAAGCATATGAACAATTGTAATTTTTTCGTGCATTTTTCTTTGTATGATCGCCTTTACGAGCGAATACCTTTAGGTATGCTTTTGTTTTCTAAGGGTGAGCACACCAGGAATATAATATTTCATCTCAGAAATGAATGCGGCGTTGTGCAAGAAAACAGAAAGTTAAATTTGTGTCTTTAAATGTTAAAGGTTTGAGAAATCTTCGCAAAGAGCATTTACGGGGGTAGAAAGGGTCGAAGAAAGGAAAGGTGGTAACGTGAAATGGAAAGAAATTCAGGTTTGAAGAAATGATGTGAAGTTGATAGCGATCTTCGCAGTAATGAACACTACTTAAGCAGTAGTGAAAAGAAGGCCTGAAAAAAGTTTAGGCCTGTACGAGATTTGAACCCATGACCTCTGCAATACCGGTGCAGTGCTTCAAATCCCGTACAGGCCTGAATTTTTTTCAGGCCTTCTTTTCATTACTGCTTAAGTAGTGTTCATTACTGCGAAGATCGCTTTCATATTCACGTCTTTATCCGCAGTTCAAATATATGACTTTCATATATTCACAGCCGTTTGAAACAACTAGAGTCAAGCTCCAAACTAAAACGAGACAATTGAAACTAGATCTGGCAATTGACATTTATTTCATTTTAGTTTTAGCTACCAGAGACTGTTTTCAACAGAATTTAAGGATAAACTATAACGTTGCCATGAAGACTTTCTTTAGCATACAGCTGAGGCCACATAACCACTGATCCTAGAGTCACGTGACAATTCTGGTACCCAGCTACGATGTCACTTTCTGACAGAACCACTCCCCATACATTTATTCCAGACACTTCACCGATCCAGGACTGTCTTGGGTCGAAATCTCCCCCAACTTCGTCTTGGTCTTGTCCAATGACCACAGTACCTCCCTTTTCAATCATGCCTCCCTTGTAAAAGTCAGAGCCACTCCCGACGACTTCTCCATCTATCCAGAATTTGTAATCTCCGTTTGTGTTGCTCCATGTGAAACAAAAGTGGTGAAATAGGGATGTCTTGGTCAGCGTCCCTTTCGAAAACAAGGGAAAAAAAAGAAATTAGAATTTAGAAAAAAAAAACCCGAATTGTGATACGATCTATCAAAGTTGGGGGAGATGCCATTTTGAAACATGGAATTGCCTCTGCCCTCCACCTCCTCCAAATGTCAATCCTAATAAAACGCAGAGCGGTTTCATCCTTGCTTAGATACACTGAAAAGTTTGAAAAAGACATTGTACGAATTTTTTAAAAAGCGAAGGGAAGGAGTTACATTGTACTTGACTATTGCGATACTATTCTACTCCTACTGAGTAAATTACCACAGAGCTGACTATACCTCCTTTGGCCATGGATAAGCACATGGGAAGTAGGATATGAGCAAAGAGTCAATTCATTGTCTGATCCTGGGACAGCGTAGCTGAACACACATTGATTATCACTGGGCTCGACATGGAAAGGATTCCACTGTGCAATCATGCAGATTGAAACAGCATGCAGATCGTATACGAAAGCGTTTTCTATCATTGCATAATCCGTGATGGGACCCGGTAACACCATGACTTTGTCTGAAAGGTAAATACAACTGCGTTTAGTTGTAGTGAATTAAAGCACCCCTGTGCAATTTATGCTGACTATGACTATGGGGGAGATTTCGACCTGACTACCGCGTCAAGGACGAGGAATGACCTTTTCCCATCAAAATCAAGAGCTTCTTGGAAATTGTAACTTCAATTCAATTACTGATGTTATGTTTATTATGAAATACACGGCGAGGTACACATCGTTTGTAACAATGATTCTGAAATTACATTGCAATCTTTCTCGCATGGAATCGATCGATAACGGTGTGAGTCTAAAATTGAACAAGTCAATGCCGATAAAGAATGGGGTCGTAAAAAGCTGGTCGTCATTATTGATAACCGAAACATCATTTGATGGATTCAATCCTACATCCTTCCTCTCTCCCATGCCTTAATCTCTTACGTTACTTTAGAGCCCAAGGATACCAAGATTGGGTAATTAATTTTTCAATAAGAACTTATGGCTTACCATTACGCAACGTGCGACTATGAATATCTAACGAACAAGTCTCGGAAGTCAGATAATATAGATTAAGCTGGGCCTAAAAGTGAGGTTCCAGTGACTTAATTCCTCTGCCCTTCGCTTCATCACAGGCTGTTGAAGAGTCTATCTATATAAAGTTATGGACCAGTCAGGTAGATACGAGGGATTAATTGTATGGTCTATCAAAGAGTGGGGGATCCAGGGAAAAGCTTGCATTTCATTTGCTGACCTGTCTTCGAAGGGTCACATTCGTCAGCTTGCCTCTTCTCCAGCTTTCTGTCCTCCGTGGCCAGCGCTGAAACAAATACACCCGCGAGCAGCCAAGTAGTTATCCAAAGGGAATTCATTTCTGCTCTGTTTCTGCGACGTTGGAAGACAAAGAGAAATTGTTAATATGTCGCTTGGTAATGAAACGCAGCTAAAGGCAAGGTATTTAAGAAAACCGGAATCCAGCAAATTATTTATCGATATGCTTTTTTCTTCTCTTTTTCCTTGTTTGCACGCTATCAAATATTGTGAAAATCACATTCCTGCTAGAAATACGATGAACAACAGTTTTAAACAGAAGTTTTAAAAGGAAGGCTAGTTTGGGAAAGTAAATATTTTCCGATAAACTGGCGGTATAGGTTAATAGCATCACAATCCTTACCTTTTTCCCGAAACTTGTGACTTTCAGATGAGATGCTTTCCTCAAGTCTCGAACTCGAAATAATGAAAGGTGTTTTCAACTACGCCTTTATAGATCCTGTTT